GACCCTCGTGTGCCTTCCGTCCTTCCTCAGCGTCACTAAGAACAGGTTTACGACTCTAAGTCACCATGCGACCAGTTTGGGGAATTCGCTCGCACATTTAAGGATTTGTTTAATGTTGCCATTGGGGTTCATACGTTTCTGTTTCCTTTCTTTCGGAAAGCGTTGCATTGTCAGTTCTTTCTCGTGCTGCTACATAAACTCTCTAGTCCTCGTGTTAAAGGCCCTGCATTTCATCCACGGCATCTCCTCTGTCTCCCAGCTCGTCGGTGACGGGTGCAGTGATGGGTCCCTGACAGGTGTCCACGTCCCAACCCCAGGACCGAGGACACGTACCTCCCACGGCAGAAGGGACTTTGCCAGTGTGACTCGGGACCGTGAGATGGGGCGCTGGCCCTGGATGACCCACTGGGTCTAGCACAAGGGCCCTTATCAGAGGGAGACAGGGGTCGGGGAGAGAAGGTGTGACAAAGGCAGTGAAGGTTGGAGTGAGGTGGGGCTACAAGCCAAGGAACGCAGGTGCCTGCAGAAGTCGGAAAAGGCCAGGAAGGGATCTTCACCTTGACGTGAGCCCAGTGGGACCCAGGTCAGGCTCCTGACCTCCGGAACTCTGAGAAAATGCCTTTGTGTTGCCTAACCCCAAGCGTGTGGTCATCTGTTACAGCGGCTGCAGGACGCCCATGCACAGCCCCTGCCTGTCCGTCCTACAGGTTCCCTCCTCCCCGCCGGGAAGGCCGGCACGTCCCACAGCTTGTCAGCTGCACGTTGCCGGGTTCTGCGCATGTGCCAAGGGCTAGTTGGGGCACTTAATCTTTTTCAAGAACTCTAGGAGGCAGGCACTGCTGTTATCTCCATGTCACAGCAAGAAACCAAGGATGCTGAGTAACTTGCCCAAACGAGGCTGGAGACCCTGGGACTTTGGGGTCTGATTCCAGGGGCCACTGAGGCTGGAGTCGGGCGGGGCAGCTGCTGCCTGGGTCCTGCTTGTTAACAGTTATGCTGAGCCATCACCCGCAGGAGCCCCACCGCGTCCCACCCAGCCCCCGACTTTGTGCTGTGCCCTCAGTGCATGGACGGCACGCTGGGCAGGAGGTGGGGGCTGCCTCGGTGAATGAGGGCACTCGGGTGAGCTGGGCCGAGCTGGGATGTAGACCCGGGCCCGGCTGGCCCAACGCCTGTGCTGGCTCCGAGCCGGGGGAGTTCCGTCCGCCTCAGCGTTGCTGTCACTTGTCATCACGCGTCGATTCTGCACAGAAGCCATGAGATGCTTCAGGTCTCATATCTGCGTTTCACAGAAAGTAACGTGTGCACGTCATCTTGGATGTGGGGCCAGCAGGGCAGGTGTGGGGCGAGCAGGGCAGGTGTGGGGCGAACAGACAGGTGTGGGGCGAGCAGGGCAGGTGTGGGCGAGCAGGCAGGTGTGGGGTGAGCAGGGCAGGTGTGGGGTGAGCAGGGCAGGTGTGGGGCGAGCAGGGCAGGTGTGGGCGAGCAGGCAGGTGTGGGGCGAGCAGGCAGGTGTGGGGCGAGCAGGGCAGGCGTGGGAAGGAATGGATCCCCGAGATGGTTCCTTAGAAGTGCCGTCGTCACCGCGCTAGCGATGGTGGAGCCAGGACTAGAACCCAGGCCCCCGCTTCCTGGCGCGCTCCTGGGCACTCACTCGGATCCTGACACCGTTCCAGGCCCTCGCTGGCGGGGACGGGGGGCTGCCCACCGCGTCTCGTGTGTCTTCACAGTTAGCACAGAGCCCTCCTCAGCTCCTCCACGGCAGGCTCCATGTTTGTGCCCGAGCGGCTCCTTGCTCCTTGAGAATGGTTGCGGGAAGAGGCCGATGAAAGCTGGGCTGGTTCCTCAGTCTTCCCTACTCGAGGGGGGTTGGGAAGTCCACAGACAATCGCGATTCTCTCCTCTCCTGGGGAAACTGCGGACACAGGCGAGTGTGAGAACCGAGCCCGCTCAGTTGTTACCAAGTCTAGGGACATCCCCAGCTGCACAGAGGAGGGACGCGTAGCTCAGCCGCTCTCCCCACGGACCCAGAGGCCGGAGGGAGGGTGGCATGAATGGGGGGCCGGACGAGGTTTTACCTGAGTGGGCGGTGCTCAATCTCATGGAGTCACGCCCTCCATTTCCCCTTTTCCTATACTACGAAGTAGCAATGCTACCTCCTTTCGCCTCCGGTTATGGAGCAACCGAACGTGCAAATGATCAAATTGCCCTTAGAACTCTCCAATCTGATGTTGCAAAGAAGAAACCTGCCTTCCCCGGGTAACGGATGTTTCCAACGTCCGGGATCGTCAGCAGAACGAGCCGACTAAGGCGCGTGGCCTCCTCCTGGCGTGTTCGCGTTTGCTCTGCTCAGCCAGACGCCGCGTGCGCGCCGCGGGAAGCCTCCCGCGATGACCGAGGCCTGTGCGTCCCGGCTGACAGTGTCCCGGCTGTCACCGCTGCTCCCTCCGCTCCGCCACAGTCTGTAAACTCGCCGCGTCGCGGGAGGTACGGGGACGGCATCTCGGTTTTAATCCCGGTCAGAGCTGGAGACAGACGGTGCCATGCGCATGCTGCAGGTGGAGAACCGGGCGCGCAAGTCGAACAGCAAGTGTCAGTGGCCTCAAACTGGGAAGAAGTTTCTGGATGGAGAGGGAGGAAAGCTCCAGTGTCCCCATCGATCTTAAAACCCTCTTATCCGATTGCTACAAACCGGAGTGAGCTCAGGCGCTTGGAAATTCTCTCACAGTCGGGACGGAAGGCCACTGAGCTGAGGGGTGACCCGGTGGTGTCGGGAGCCCCAGGCTGGCGGCTGATGTGGAGGTGACTATGGCGGGGAGGGGGCAGAGGCCCATCTGGCAAATAGAGCTGTAGGTTGCAGAGCAGTGATGAAAAGGGGGATTGTCTCCTGGAGGAAAATGTAGATGCCAACGCTATAGATTCAATTAGGTGCTTATCCTTTGGGGAAATAAATGGCTACGGAAACGGAAGCACCCTCACTCCGGTGGCCCAGGGCCCGCTTTCTCCGACCACCTCCTGCTCGCTCCCCCTTCCTTCCACTTAGGAATCGGAGCCCTTCTTAGCAACATGCCTTCAGGCTGGAATATGCAGTCAGAAACAGTGAATCAAGTGTATGAAGCGGGGAGAGCTGTCGCCAGCCCGGCCAAGTCACGTTCGAGACATTGACGAGGAATCAGAATCTCCAAGCAGCGTTTAAGGGAGAGAACATGGGCCCGGGAGTGGGTGCTGCCGGCCAGGGCCTGGGGGAGCCAGCAAAGCAGGAGACTCATCCAGCTCATCATCCCACCTCTCGGACCTCGAGCGCCTGCTTCAATTCTCACATCAGTTTCCTGCCTTTAGAACGAAATCTCACATCAGTTCGTTTTATTTCATATAAAAGGCTTCTGTTTTCAAAGCCACGCTCAGTGAACCCGTGGGAAGGACAGATGGGGTGACGCACCGACATCGTCTAATTGGGGAAGGTATTTGATGGAAAGGGTGTGATTGCTTTTTAAGGAAAACCTGCCCGATTTTAAAAATAGTAGCCCCAGCCCTGGCCGGTTTGACTCAGTGGATAGAGCGTCGGCCTGTGGACTGAAGGGTCCCAGGTTTGACTCCGGTCAAGGGCACAGGCCCGGATTGCGGGCTCGATCCCCAGTAGGGGGCGTGCAGGAGGCAGCCGGTCAATGATTCTCATCACTGATGTTCCTTTCTCTCTCCCTCTTCCTTCCTCTCTGAGATCAATAAAAATATATTTTTAAAAATTAGTAGCCCGCCTGGGGAACGTCAAACAGCTCCCCGGTCCCCTCTCTTTCCCAGTTTCCCAGCCCCAGAAGACGAACTGGACACAAAGGGATGTATTGCAGGCTGTTATGGGCTACACTGTGTCCCCCAAATTTATATGTTGGAATTCTAACCCCCGGGACCTCTGAAGGCGACCGTGTCTTTTGAGGGGCGAGTGAGGTTAACGAGGTCCCTGGGGGGCCGGGATCCCATGTGACGGGCGTCCTTATGAGAAGGGCATGGGCACAGACAGGCCGGGGAAGAGCTTGTGAGGACGGGGAGACGGCACCCACCAGCCAACAGACGACGACGTGAAGGAACGGACCAGCCGACACCTTGACCTCGGGCGCCCAGGCTCCAGGACGGTGAGGAACCAGTGCTTGTGGCTCAGGCCCCGCAGACTGCAGCTCCTCGTCCCGGCAGCCCTCGCACACAGAGACGACTTCCGAGAGGCTGACATGATCCTTCATCACTTCCTGGGTCTCAGGAGAAAACAGGGTGTGGTCACCAGAGCTTCCCGACCAGCCGGTGCCGTGCATCGAGGAGCAGAGTGTGGTGTCCCCTCGTCGTTCCTCCCGGCTGGTTGGTTGGGGCTTTTATCAAAGCCGATTCTGGGGAAGCCCGGCCCGTGTTGCTCAGTGGTTGTGCATCGGCTGATGAACCAGCAGGTCACGGTTCAATTCCCGGTCAGGGCACAGGCCCGGGTTTTGGGCTCAATCCCCAGTGGCGGGAAGCGTGCCGGAGGCGGCCGATCGATGATTCTCTCACCATTGATGTTTCTACCTCTCCCTCCCTCTCCCTTCCTCTCTGAAATCAATAAAAATATTTAAATAAGGGGGGGGGTGCTGTTCACGAAGTGTGTTTAGATGCCAGCCTTGCACCGTGTGCCCATAGTTCACGATTGTCAAGACCGGCCTGTGGGCTGTGGGTCTGACCCAGTGCTCCCGGGCCTGTGATTACGGAAATGGGACGCTCCCCTCCCACAAACGCCATAATAAACAGAGCGGACACACCCGGGGGAGAAGAGGATTCCGCAGGCAGCGGGATGCACCCAGAACAGCAATCAGTCCGCACACAGGTCCGGGCTGCATGCGCAGAGGCCGCGTCAGGCGCGGGGTGCAGGCCCCGGACGAGAGCGCGGGGCGCAGCGCCCTGGGGCCCGTGGAGAGCCTGCGCCGGCGCTGGGACGGATGCTGGAACAAGTGGCTGGAATAACTCCGATCTCTTTCCATTTGCAGGAGACGCTGACATCACAAAACACGGAAATGATTTCGTCCTTAGTCATTTCGCAGCTGCTCGATGAGAACAAGCCCCCGGAGAAGGGGGCCGCGGTGCCCGCGCTGTGCGCCGACCCTCAGCCGCCCACGTGGCCCGGGAAGCGCGCTCTGGCCAGTCGCAGCGGGGTCACCATCAACAGGGCCTTCGCGTTCCTTCCCGGCCAGCTAGGCCCTCAGCCACCGGCCGGGGTGCAAGGACCGGAGCCTGCGCTCACCCCCAAAGAGGAGAAGCAGCCGGGCGGCAGCCCCCAGAAGGGGTTTGCATCCATCACCATCACGGCCCGGCGTGTGGGCCCCCCAGCCAGGGCCCTGGTGTGGGGCACCGGGGGGGACCCGCTGTGCAGCCGGTGCCGGGCCCAGGACCCTCAGCTCAGGGGCTGCCCTGCTCTGGCCAGCGGCGCTGACCCAGGTCGGCACCACGGACCTCTCGCCTGCACGGAACCCTCCGGAAGCAGCCCTGTGATGCGGCTGGGGTTCCCGGAGGCCCACGCACGGCTGTGTGACGGACACCAGTACTGGGTGGCCAGCGTGGACCGCGGGGAGGACCGGTTCTCCCCAGGCCGCCCGCGGTCGGGGCAGGGCCCGCTGCTGTTCAGCTCCTGTGTGCACCTCAGGGTGTCTCGGCGGTGCCCCAACGCCACCTGCTCTCCGGAGAGGTCCCCCTCCGTCCCCGTGGAGCCAACTCAGCGGGCCGGCCCCCAAACGCACAGGGCCGTCCTGTCCCTCAACCTAAACTGCAGTTCTCACCGGCTGACACCAGATGGGGCAGACGGCCCGGCCACCGGAGGGCCAATCAGCAGCAGCCTGAAGCCGCAGCTGGCAGAGGGCTCCGGCCTCCAGGGCCCGCGCTGGGCCCCCGCCCTGCACCCCTCCTTGGGGCAGGTGCAATTGGGGGCTGGCACATGCCCTTGGAGTGGCCCCCCTCCGGCGGAAAGCACAGAACTCACAGATGCGGGGACTCGGCAGATCACGGCGAGGAAAGGGATGGGGGACCACGGGACACCTCGTCACACGGGCGGCCACACCAGTGCTCACGCCAACCAGCTGTCCATCCACATTCCCGGCTGGAGCTACCGGGCAGGTGAGTGACACTCGCTTCCCGGGTGGGGCTCCAGCACAGACACCCCGCCCCCCCATAGGCCAGGTTCCAGGGTGAATGCCGGGCCAGGTGGACGGCGAGCTTCTCCCTCACTCACCCCCTCCCAGGAGCAGCTTTCAGTCCACAGGCCACACCCTGCGGTGTCTGTGCTGGCGGGCTCTCCGGGGTGAGATCCTGGGATCAGGAAAGGCTGGCCCTTCAAGCTTTGTTCCAACGACACGTCCAGAGCATGTGCAGAGGCAGAAACTGTGGCCCAGGTCACCTTAGGGTCGGGTGGGCTGCGTCATCCCAGAGCAGGCGAGGACAGGCCCCCCCCGCAGAGGTTGTCTCTGGTCCCAGCGTCTGCACATCCCACGGTGCCCAGAGCCTGCCCTTTCACTGTCAATCAGACGGCTGATATTTGTGGGTTGGCTCCATAATAGAGCGTGTGTGTATGTGTGTGTGCGTGTGTGTGCATATGTGTATGTGTGTGCCTGTGTGCGCACATAGGTGTGGATGTGTGTGAACGGGTGTGCACATGTGCGTGTGAATGTGTGTGAACACGTGTGTGTGAGTGTGTGCACATGTGCATGAGTGTGTGCATATGTGTGAGTGTGTGTGTGAGTGCACATGTGCATGAGTGTGTGTGCATGTGAGTGTGTGTGAGTGTGTGTGAGTGTGTGTGAGTGTGTGTGGGTGTGTGTGGGTGTGTGTAATGATTACAGGACATTTTCTAAAGGAAGCAAAGCTGGGCCTCTCCAGGCCGGACAGCAGCCGAGTTTTCTGTCTCCTCGGCCGTGTTTCGTGGAGCAGTTTGGCCAGGAAGTGCTGCTGTACCTGTGTCATGTGGCAGGCAGGGTCCCCAGGCCTGCTGGGCGCCCCCCCCCCGTCCTCCCCCCATCCCACTCCCACTCTGGGAGGCTGGGAGGGGACGGGGCCACAGCCAGAGGCCAAGCTCTTTCTCTCTGTGCAAACTTCGATTTTCTGCTTTACTCTCTGCGAGAGACTCTGGCGTCTGAACGAGCGCCTTTCCACTTGGGGAAGATATTTAAAGGTAACGGCAGTGAAATAGGAAGGGCAGCATGTGGGTGATAATTTCCCGGTGCGATTCCCACCCATTAGCTCTGTGTTAATTAACAAAAGTGGCTGTGAAATATGTCAAAGCTGGAATGCGCGCAGACATGAAAGGATGTAATTAATTTGACAGGTTTATGTCTAGCCAAGGCTCGGGGATCTGTGAGGCCTGGTGACACACTCCCACAGGGATCACACCGTCGGGACGCCTGAGCCGTGCGGGCGGGGTGCAGGGGGGAGACGGGCGTGCATTTGGGGTTCTCAAAGAGCCCCTCAGGCTTGAAGAAATTTCCGCTTCATCTCCCGAAGTGAAATGTGTGAGGGCAAGAGATTCTGTGTGACTCTGGGCCCCTTAGCCCCGAAGTTCAAAGCTGCAGAGCCTGGGGCTCCCGTGGGGGGCCCACGCCTCAGCTACAGGTGGAACAAAAGTAGGGTTACAGTTGTTCCCATGAAGAATAGCACAATGATCACTAAATAATAATACAAGAATAAACCGTTTCACATACAGCTGTAACCCTACTTTTGCCCCAGCCTGCACACACAAATGTGTACACACACATGCACACGCACACACACACATCCCTGTCCTTCGGGGCTCTCTCCCTCAGAATCTGCTGTGCAATGGGACGTATTTCTTCCCAGGTGACAAGAAAGCCCTTCGTGGCCACGCTGTGGACTCCGTGCCTGAGATTTACAGGCACAGCTCCCACGCTCTAACCACCCATCCGCACTGTCCTAGTATAATCTACACCAAGCATGTCAAACTCGCGGCCCGCAGGCCACATGTGGCCCACAACGAATATTTTTGCAGCCCAGCCAATACAATGGTATGTAAGAAACGTTTTAATAAAAATTTGGTAACTTAATTTTTACAATATCCTATTACACATCATTATTAATAATGAACTACAACGTTCACTAATGACGGATGACTATAATCGTGTTGCATTCATTTCCCTTACGCGCCTTAAGGCGCGCCATTTCTCTCCACTAACACTAGCAGCGAATATTTTAGCAGCCGATGGCCATGTCATTAGTCTTGTAATGGCTTGTTTGGTGCGTGCAACTGAGGGATTCCCTGCCAGGTCCCAGCAGAGGGCTGTGTCTGCCCGGTGCCGACAGTAGACTCCGCCCAGCAGGGGCCTGTGGGGTTTAGTTCACGGAGCACGTATACCGCCTGCGGGAAGGCGCCACCACAGCCAGCACGTGTCTGTGTCCGGCCCACCAGACCGTCTGCCTTAGACTCAGCTCCTCCAGTCCCACGAGGAGCCCTTGCCTTACAAACGAGATTTGTCTTAATGATCCGGAGCCAGCAAGCTTTCTTTCTTAAAATATGTGTTCATTGATTTCAGAGGGGAAGGGAGAGGGAGGAAGAAACATGAGTGATGAGAGAGAATCGTCAAACGGCTGCCTCCTGCACGCCCCGCACTGGGGATGGAGCCTGCAACCCGGGCCTGTGCCCTGACCAGGAATTGAACCCTGACCTCCTGGTTCATAGGTCAACGCCCAAGCACTGAGCCCCACCAATCCCGCAGCAAGCTTTTATTTTTATTTTTATTTTTGTAAAGGACCAGATATTAATGATGAAGTATGGCTTTGAGGGGGCCAGATGGTGTCTGTAGCAACTACTTAACTTTTCTGTTGTGGAACAAAAGTAGCCACTGTTACAATGAATGGATGAGCGCGGCTATGTTCCAATAACACTTTATGTATAAAAACAGGTGGGGGCCCATGTTGGTCCCATAGGCTGTAATTTGCTGATTCTGAGTCATCCGTCCTCCAGGGTAAACTCCATCCTGTTTGCAGTCCTGCACGTCGGATTCTCTGGGAATTCAACTCGGAGATGGGTATTTACGGACTTCTGTTGGGCAGTGGTCTTGGGAATGGTCCCGTGGATGGGAAGGGAAGGGAAGGCAACAGGTCCAGGCAGAGGCAACTGAGACCATCGTACATTAACACATGCTAGGCCCCGAGAACAGCAAAGGGCAGAATAAAGAAGCGCAGAACCCTGAAGTAAGCACGGCTCATTTTTAGTGAACTCGCTCCCCTTCCCTCTCTCTGCGCGTCTGTTTCTTTCTGTGAAGGAGTGGAGCTCCAGCTGCACATGTCATTTCCCCCTGGGTCTCTGCCACTTGGCACCGTGTCATAAATGTTTCCGGATATTAGCAGGACTGTGCAAAGATAATGTTTATGGGCTTCCAAATGATGTGCCTCACGGACCGATCAGAGCCTGGCGATTTCCTCACTGCTGGTCCTTCGCGTTGCCACTCGTTCTTCGCTTTGGAGATGATAGTCATGAGGAAACTTGGCCAGGAGACTTTTCTGCAGCTGGTGATTTTCTTTTAAAAAGAAATCCTTGAAGTGGAATATTGCGATCAGAGCGCAGCCGCCTTTGGAAGGTTCTTGTACATCTTTTTGTGATTGAGGGGCGCCATGTACATTAGGCTCCCGGAGAAACCCCCTGAAGACCCTCTCTACGCGGGCTCGGCCAAGAGGATCTTCTGTCCCTCCTGTAGAGGAGGGAGCAGGGACCCCGTTGCGAATATTCCCGGGGAGTGAACCCTGGCGTGGAGAATCGCTGGTCTAGACTGAGAAACCAATGGTTGGTGCCGGGGGAATGCATGCTTTGTCGTGCTGAAGCTGGCATTGCTACGGTTGCTATTAAAGGGGAACATTTTGGTTTATGTCTGCAGCTCACCTTGACCTTGGCCATAGCTGACTCAGTGGTCCCCACCCCTCTGTTGCCTTCTCCCTGGAGGCCCGGGTAGTGTCTGCATTTGGGCCGATCATTTTCTGTGGATTACTGTAGGATGTGTGCAGTATCCCTAGCCCTCACCACGCGCCCCCCACCCCCACCCCCATGTGAGAACCGCAAATGTCTCCAGACACGCACTGGGTCGGGGAGAGGACAAAACCACTCTTGGCTGAGAACCACAGCCGCACTGTGCCCTGACTCCTTGCAGCCCATGGCTGGGGACCACCCTGCTCAGCAATCCTCACTGCTCACTGCGCTGACCGCTCAGTGCACCCTCCCAGCCTCCTCTCTCATGCACTGGTGCCCAGAATTCTATGGCCTCTTCATGTGATGTGCTTGCTGTGTCGTCAGGGTCATTTGCTTCTTCTCGACAGCACGGTCACTCAGTGAGGATCCAAGTCCGATTCATGGGCACTGACCTCGGCGCGCCCAGCCGGGAGCCAGGGGCCTGGAGCACCTGCTCAGGACCTGGGTGCCAGGGGGGACAGGTCATCCTGATGACCCAACAAAGCCTTGCTGATGTCAGGGTCACGCAAAGGCCTGCTGCCTTTTCTTTCTCACGGCACCTCTCCCCAGGGCCACACTCGAAGCCTCTCTGCTCGGAGAGGGTGGGGCGCCATGTGACATTCGCAGTCTGGAGGTAGGTGGGGGAAAGTAAAGGGAAATTGCAGCACCCCCACACGGTTGTAAAGCTGAGGGGAAAAGGCCTCAGAATGCCGGTTCCCTTAAAGAACTCAGTCAGAATAATCAAGTATTGGCATGAAACAACTTTATTGTCCTTCTGATGGTCCAATGTAATACAACCCCCCCCCCCCCAGAAAATGTATGAAGAATGTTGCAGAAATATTCTGAAGGTGTTTTGACTTGTTTAGCTCTTGGTCAAGGTGGATGAGATGGGGTCCCTCCCCCATGATCTTGAATGTGCTGCCCCATACTGCCCAGAGCCTGTGGTCTCCCGAGGTTGCTCCGGTCAGCCACCCACTGTCACTGTGGGGGAAAACGCTTGGTCCTGCTTTCTGAGTCACCCTCTCGATGGCATGAGTGGGTCGAGTCCCCACAGTTGTTTAGGGAACAGTCATTCTAATTGGCCTCTCGCTCAGGTTTGCCACGTGAGGTAAGAGAAGTGGACTCGAGGCCTGTACTGGGCTGATGGGGTAACGGCCGGATTTGTACA